AAGAAGATTATCCTGAATTGTCCAGGCGGGCCCAGTGCAATGAAAGGTGGACAAGAGAAGGAGAAGAAAGAATCAGGGAAGGAGATGCGATGATGGAAGCAGAGGGCAGAATAATCCAACGTGAAGACGCGGCCACCATCACTGATTTTGAAGATGGACAGTGGAGCCACTTGGCAAGGAATGAGAGCGGCCTCTAGAAGCTGGAAAAGGCAAGGAAATGATTTTTCCCTTAGAGCCTCCTAAAGCCCAATGAGACTGTGTTAAAAACTTCTGTCCTACGTAATTACGAGTTAATAAATTCATTCTTTAAAGTCACAGAATTTGTGGTAATTTTTAGGGCAGTCATAGAAAACTAATACAGCCATGATGATGAAGTACTGAAATATGGGGTACTGTTTTAGAGTTAAGCGGTGATGGTGAATTAGATAACTCCAACTCTAAGCAGCGTGGGAATGGATCTCTGGAAAGCTCACGTGACTGTGTCTGTGAGGAGGAATAGTGGACTATAAGGGCAGATGGCACTGGAGAAAGAGGCAATGTAGTATAGTGATTAAAAGAAAGAGGCTTTGAAGCTCATGTTTCTGGGTTTGAATCACTGCCCCAATCATTTACTAGCTGTGAAACGTGTAAACTTAAAAATCTTACGACTCAGTTTCCTTCTTTAAAATGAGATTAAAAGTAGTACCTAATACAGAATTATTTTGAAGATTAAGCAGTTTAATATATATGAAGCTTTTAAAAGAACTTTAAGCACACCTTAATAGTTTATTACATTTTGTGCAGCATTATGATTATTATTTCTGGTCCAGTTTTCAGCTTGGTAACTCTGGGTTCCTAAGATTCAGTATTATCAGTCATCGTCTGAGACCTAGTCCTCTAAGTAACTGGGCTGGCTATTCTGTCGGTGGTTTCCTGGATCAGATCATTAGGCCATGGCTGTGACAGTGGTAGTAAAAGGTATAGAACAGTCAGTAGTGAACAAAATAAAGAAAACAGGGGCCCGAAGAGCAGGAGGAAAAAGAAAGTGAAGCTTCTGGCAAACACCAGCTGCTTTGTAAATCTGCTAAGGTCCAGCCTGGTTATGAATATAAATGAATTCTCCACCCTAGATCCAGCAATAAGAGGTCAGAGAAATAGGCTTTTCGTCTGGACTTCCTTAGAATATTGACATCTCAGGAAGTACTCCTCTTCCTTCGTTCCTACTTTTATTCTTTGAGAATCTCGGTGAAATATAGATATATATATAAAGTCACACTTTAAAACATGAGATGTTTGAAGCTGAACAAACGTAACACTCTCAAAAAAAGTGAGTAGAGCATAAAAAATATATATTCATATTCTCTGTTTAGGTTTCTATAATATAATCATATAGTGATCATATCTACATTTTAAAAAATGTAATCTCTTCTTGGCAACGAGACACGGAAGTGAGGGGACTTGAGAGTTTAAAATTAGAAGTAGGCATAAGAGATTTTCTCTACATGCTATCTGCATTCAATCTACTTTCCACGTGTATTCAGAATTCACCTTTGCTAATTACTTCCTAATGTATACAATCTCAAATTTAAAAAAGTGTGTTTTTTTCTAATTTAGAGAATAGAAATTATATTTTATGCGATAAACAATAAGAGAATATCTGACAAGTATTTTGTTTTACCTGTTTTGCTTGACTTGTCAAACTTAAGAAATCAGAGATCTTTTCAAAGAAATAAGTCAAATTAGCTTCAAATCTCTTCACAAAAGCAATCATAGTATGAGTTAGCAAGTGTAACAAATTCCATTTAATCCTTAAAAATCTAATTAATTAAAAGTTGAACGAGAGCTAATGTAGGTCTCTTTGACTGAATTCACCATAAAATCCATGGGTGACATTACTTGGTTGTATTTTGCTTGTACTTGAAATGGGCACTATAGTTCTCAAGGGGCATAATCATGTTGACTGCAAGAATCATCTTGGCAGGCATAAATATAACTTTCATGTTCGCTTAAATAAAGCTTTACCATATTCTGTGCAAGAAAAAAACATAGTTTGTAAATGCCTTTTATTTAAAATGTTATTCTTTGGTAATGAGACAATAGGAAATTCTGAAGTGATTTAATGAAGGCTGACGGCACAGAGAAATGGAATTGAGTGTATGGCCCAGCAAGTATATATGGTCGAGTTGTATACTTCAAAAAGTGACTGAATGAGCGTAATATTGGAAGCTTTTAGTAAGACTTCAGGAGTTTGAATTGCAACATACTTCTTTCAAAAGAGAAAAAGTTTACTATGGGTCAGTGTGGTATATCAATTAAGAGAATTGATACAAGTCTGTAATATTGAGGATGGAAGGAAAAAATGAGTTAGTGGGAAGAGTGTCAATGTTTGACTAAAGTATAGTGGATTTTTATTATTAGCGAAAAGACCATTGAAAGATTCTGAAAGTACGAATATAAAATACCTTTACATTCTAAATGGATAAGAGAGGAGAAGGATACGGACAAAATGACTTGTCCATATGCACCTATCTCAACAATACCATCCTAGTCCAAGCCACCATAGCTCTTGCCTGGACTACCAAATAATAGTCTACTAATTGGTCTCTGTTTTCACTCTTACCTGTGATAATCTATTTCTCGACAACAGCCAGAGTGATCTTTTTAAATACATAAATTAGGTCATGTCACTCCCTTGCTTAAAAATCTTCAGAGGCTTCTATTCCAATAAAATCTAACTAACTTCAGTGGTTTAAAAAGTTCTGGGTGACCTGGCCCCCATCCATCTCACTGTCCTTCTCACTCATTATTTCCTAACTACCTCAGCTTTCCTTCTGTTCCTCAAACATAAAATAGCTCGTCTTCCTTACAGCTATTTTCTCCTCTTATGCTCATTTCCTGCTTCTCCTTGACATTCAGTCTCAGCTTAAATATCAATCCTTTGAGAGGTCTTCTCTCATCACTGAGTCTCTATCAAAGCACCCTATTTTAACTTTGTAAAGTCCTGATCTCAGTAGGATATTTTTACTTAATTGTTTATTAACTATCTGCTTCAACAGGAATGTTAGTACCATGACAGCAAGGACTGTGCTTAGCTCGTGCTGTTTCTACAGCCCACTGAATAGTAAGTACCTGGCCCATTGTAGTGCCAAATAAATGCTGTTGAATAAATGTAGTTTTTAGAATGGAATGGAGTTTTAGATAAAGACACCAAACTAAGGTGTATATGTAATAAAATTAGCAGGCTATAAAAGAAAGATTGTTGAATTCCCAAGACTCTCTGAGGACAAATCCCATACTCTTTTTACTTCCCCATATAGCATCTCCTTTTCATAAGTGTCACAAAAAATTGAAAGTCTCATGTTACATCCCATGTTTCTCGCTGTATATATTATAATCTGATAGTGAATGAGTTAAAATCACACTTTACCCACTGTCATTTTTCCAAGAACATTTGAACCTCATTTCAAATACACATTTGCAGACATCATAGTGTAGCAGTATCTAACAATATAAAATGTTTCTTCCAAAGGATAGCAAAATAAATTTATGTAACTTCTAAATATCTGCCATTGGCAGACGAAATACTTGGTAGAGTAAGAAGGAAAATAATTCTGCGCTACTTGTGTGATTATGAGAAATCCACCAAAGCAATTGCAGCTTCATATAGCTCATCTGAAAAAAGGGGTTTTAGTATACTTAACTTGAAGGATTTTTCTGAAGATTAAGAATAATATGTGAGAAGGGCCTAGCACACAGCGGGCATTTCGAAGATGGTGATTCTTACTCTTAATTGTTTTTTCTTGAATTTTCTTTAAAATATATAGCAAAACCTGATTTAGCATTCTTTGCCACAAAGTGGAATTTAGAAAAAGGCAGGTGCATGTTAGACACATTCTAAGTGAGAAATTCAAAATCTCAGAGCATGGACACTGACAGATGCATGTTAGACACATTCTAAGTGAGCAGCCAAAGAGAAATTCAAAATCTCAGAGCATGGACACTGACAGGTCTCTTCTTCATTCTTTTCAGTGAATACTGAAAATACAGCATTTCAGTATTCTAAAGGGGATCTTCTCAGAATTAGCACTGTATGATTGTTTAGTTTGTACACTATGCAAAGGCAACTGGCCAAGGAAGTGAGTGACAGCTGAAAGCCAGCCCCGACTCTTGTTATATAGCTATAAGCCTGAAGATGTGGGTTTGCACAAAGGCTGCATTTATCCAATTTTATAAAGATCTTCAGTAGTCTGTACATGGCCCTCTCAAAATACATTATTTTCTAAAATATCTTACATTTGTAAGGAATATGGCTGAATCACACAGGAAATAAGCAACTATCGTGTTTACATTTTCTGAGATTGTTGTTATTTATTTGTTTTATTTCTTTTTTACTTCTTTTATTCTTTGAATAGAAGAAGGCACTTCTCACCTATGACATGTGGTTTTGCTGTGTTTGTTGCTGCTGCTGTTGCTGCTGCTGAATTAGCAACTGCTGCTGCTGCCGACGCCGGGCCGTCCGTAGCTTTTCAAAGCGAGCCTCCATTTCTTCCAGGACTTTCGGTGTGTATCTAACCACCAGCTTGACGCTGTCCTTAGCAGCCTTGAGTAGTTCCACAGCTTTCTCATGGTGTTCTCCTTCCACGCTCTGAAAAGACAGTGACATTTCTTAAAAGGGACAGCTTCCATGTTCTTTTTCCTGAAAGACAAATCTGAAATTAGCATCATATTAAAATCTCAGACTGTGAAATTTCAAGAAAGTCTGGCAAATGGGATTTATTGCCATCATCATTATTTGTCACTTTTGCAGTTGCCCTGTAAGCAGGGTAGGCTGCACTACGGTACAGAATGGATTGAATAGGGCTTCGAGTTAGGAGAGTGAGAAATAACGCAGACCTGAAAAACAACGCTCACATTTAGAATGGAATTTCTAAATTTGATCTGGAAGAACAAATACACTATTTTGGAAAAATTTGAAAAAAAAATTTTTAAAAATAGTCATAAATGGTGATTTTCCTTATTAGATATTAAAATTTATTAACAATCTACAATAAGTAAATTAGTATCATATTGATATAGTAAGAGACAGAACAATACAGTGTCCAGAAGCAGATCCAATATATGTAAATTTTATTTATATAATAAGTATGGAATTTAGACCAAAGGAGAAAATAATTATTAACTAATGATGCTGGAACAAATAATAATAAAATGACACAAAATAACGTAGACTCCAACCTCCTAGTCAATGTTAAATATAACAAATTGATTAAAAATTTAAATGTAAAAATAAAACCATAAAACAACTAAAATACAACATAGGTGAACATTCATCATCTTGCAATGAAAAAGTAATTCTTAAGTAAAAATACTAAAGGAAAACAATCACAAAATCAGATTTAAAAATCATAAGTTTCTATTTTTCAGACACCATAAAAATAACCAGAAAACATATTTTCAATATATGACACTCAATTTGTTAATATTCTTCAAATGAAAAGCTCTTATAAGACAATAAATATCTAAGCAAAATGGGCAAGTGAATTTATGGGCAAATAATAATTTTAAAAATGTCCAATAAATCTATGAAAGAATGTTCAAGCTCCCTAGTAATCAAATAAATATAAATAAACGCAAAATATTTCATTTTTAATTTAAAAATGTTAAGTATGAATTTTTAAGTATAGTATATTGATAAGGATATAGGAAAATGGGACTCTTATACACTAATAATTACTTAACAGAAATTGGCACTATTTTTCTGGAGGGCACTACTATTATACATTGAACAAACTCTTTATAATAAATAGTTTGACTTTCAGAGAAATTTACAAAAGATGTAATAAAAGATGTACACATACTTATAAAATACTTATAATGCAACAGAAAGCAAAAAACAAATCAAGTCTTGACTTCTGAGTTTCAAAATAGTCATTTGAACACCATGGCATAGACAATAGTGGGGAAACTGTTTAAGAAAACACAAAGAGACTTCTCCCAAACCTTTTTTCTTTTTTTTTGTAAATTAGTTTCAAGTATTCAGTACATTGGTTAGACATCTATATAATTCGTAAAATGATCTGCCCAGTTGCTCCCTTCCTCCCTTGACCCTCCACCAAGCCAACGTATTAATGCTAACTGTATTCTCTATGCTGTGCTCCCCATCCCTGTGACCATCCATCAGCTACTAATTTGTACTTCTTTAACCCTTCACCCCATTCTCCCAGCCCCCAAACCCCTCTCCCCTCTTTCCGTCACCAAATTGTCCACTATATTTGTGAGTCTGTTTTTGATTAGTTTGTCTTTTTTGTTCCTTAGATACCACATATAAGTGAAATTATATAGTGTTTATCTTTCTCTATCTGACTTAAATACCTTCTAGGTCCATCCAAGCAATATCTTTTTCCGTCCCCTTCATTTTCATATATATGGGTGTTGTTTTCTTATTCTTTCATCCACTCTATCTTTTGATTGGAACACTTAATTCTTTTCCATCTAAAGTACTTATTGATAGGAATGTAGTTGTTACCATTCTTTATTCCTGTTTTTGATACATGTTTTTTCTTCTTAAAGAAGTCCCTCCAACATTTCTTGTAATACTGGCTTGGTGGTGATAAATTCCTTTAGGTTATTTTTATCTGGGAAGTTCTTTATCTGTCCTTCAATGCTAAATGATCTCTTTGCTGGATAAATTATTGTTGGTTGCAGATCCTGGGTCTTCGTCCTGTCGAATATTTTTTGCCAAGCCTTTTCGTCCTGCATAGCTTCTTTTGAGAAATCAGCTGCCAAGTAACTTTCCATTTTTCTCTTGCTGTTTTTAATATTCTTTGTATTTAACCTTTGTCATTTTAATTATGATGTGTCTTGGTGTGGGCCTCTTTGGATCCCTGATTTTTGGAATTCTCTGAGTTTCCTGGGGTTTTATGTCCATTTCCTTCACCAGGTTAGGGAATTTTCCATCATTATTTCTTCAAACAGCTGTTCAACATCTTGATTTTCTTCATTTATGCCAATCATATGGATATTTTGACCCTTAATAGTGTCCCATATTTGCCTTAAATTATTTTTATAGTCTTGGCATCTCATCTCTTGCCATCTGATTGAGTGTCCTTGGCTTTCCAGTCCTTTAGATGAGGCATTTGATCCTTTTCTTTATTTAATTTGTTTATTCCTTTCTTTATTCCATTTAATATACTTCTCATCTCAGATAACGTTTCTCCATTTCAGACTGGTTCCCTTTTATAATTTCTATTTCCATTTTTATGTTTTTTATCTTTGTTGGAGTTCTCTACACTTCCCAAAAGTACATTGAGCATCTTTATAACCAGTGTTTTGAACTCTGCATCTGTTACATTACTTGACTCCATTATACCTGGATCTCTGTTCTGTTCTCTCATATGGTTTCTGCTTTGTCTTCCCATTTTGGCTGCCTTTCTGTGTCTGTTTCTATGTACTAAGCAAAGCTCCTATGTCTCTCGGTCTTATTAATGTAGATTTGTGAAGTAGGTGTCCAGTGGCACAGTTCTGAGAGGGATTCAGCTGCAGGCCAAATTTAGCCCAAGCCTCTACCCCTCCAGGGCCACCTGTTAAGATTCAGCAAGCAATCCATAGATGTTGTGCTTATAGTTGCCTCAAAAGGCCAAACCAGAAACCGAGGCCAGCTGCCTCCTCCAGTGTGAGTCTAGGTGCTGCTCAGCAAGGAGCATGCTGAGGATACACCTGGATGTGGCTTGGGTGGGGCCCAAGTTGGAGGAGGCGGGGTTTCAGGGAATCCTCTGGGCAGAGCAACCTCTGTTATCCAGTATGGCTATGGTGGTGCAGTGTCCAGCACACTGGTAGTAGGGGATGGCTCAACAGGGAACAATGGATACCGATGGCACTTCTGTACTGAGCAAGTCTCGCCTATGCTCTTACTCCAACTATGTCTTCTTTTAAGTCCCTGGTGTCCCCTGAGTGCAGCTGAATAGGCACTGGTGCTCAGAGTGAGCAGGTCCATAACTGCGAAAACCCACTTGCAGACGTGGCCCCTTTAAAAAGGCATCTGCCGGTGCCGCAGCCCCCGTCTCGCTCAGTCGCTTGAGACCGGACAGCCCCATATCCTCGCCCCATCCTACCTTCTGCTGTTGCAGGGCGCTTTCTTGGATTTCTCCCTAGTTGTATGGCTTGTTCATCCCAGGCGATTTTTCCTTGTTGCTGCTCCTTGTTTCCATCACAACTTTGATTTGGTCGCCAGAGAGATGAACAGAGAGCCTCTATCATCCATCTATGCCACTTTTTTCCTCCAAATCCTCAAACCTTTTAATGATTCCCCCGGTTGGAAAGTTGTAATGACATTTTAGGTCCCTGAGAAAAGTTAGCAATCTTCTTCCCTCTCAGCTGATCCCCAGAACAGATGACATAACCCCTTTTTTATAGGAATGAAGTACAAAGGCCTTTTTAGTTTGCTTCCTAGATAAAACTCAGAGAAGAAGCGTCTGTGTGATATGACAAATAGGGATTGAGAAAGGCTTAATTAAACATTGCCAGAACAGCTAAGAGTGGCCCTGAAGTGGCAGACAAGGCCATCGCAAATTAGTTGAGATTACATTTTCACAACCCAAACAGAAGGGGACTAAAAACGGGTGTTACAAAACAAAATAATTTGCCTTTTAGGCACACTTCAGTTATATCTTTAGATTCACATAACTACTATTACGCAGATTTGAAGATTTAAGAGGTATGTTCCATTCTGTGCTCTGTTTCAGCAAGGTGGATATGGACTGAGAAAAAAAAAAAAAAGGTTTGAATTTAGCGATGAAGCAGACATCGGTGCCCTGTAAGAGTACTGCTTTAGTCATTTGACAAAATGACTAAATGACCGTGGTAAGCCCTGGAGACAACTTATATAACCACTCTTCACCAAGTCTGGGTTAAATAAAGAGCAAGGGGTTATAAATAGCTGTTGGGCAGAATGAATTTTTATCTGTGGCTGAAGCCTAGGAAAATAGGCTTGTTCATTGATTAATCCGTTCTTTTAATTATTCACTCAATCATTGACTTGGTCACTTAACAGATGTTTATTAAGCATTTATTTTACTAGTTATAGTCAACTAAATTCTTTGGAAGATCATAAAAGATGGGAGAAATGTTATATAATATAAACTCTACTTTCAGTGAGCTTGTAATTTCTTTGTAATTTGCCCCAAGATGAATTGTTAATGTATAGAATTCTCTCCTTTAAGAGAAAAACTGGATGATTGGTTGTCCATACTCTCTCTCATTTGTTTTTAAATATTAAAAGTTAGGTGTTTATATTTCAATAACAATGATTCATCGTTTTTGAGGCCAGATGATTAGTCTCCAGCTTCTTTTTGGCTTTTGTTCTATTTGCTTTCATTTAATAGGGTTGGAAATTCTAGGTCAGACCTTTAGAGGACCATTATCCCAATTTAGGCACTATGCCTACAATTTAGAGTTGCCACAGAAGGGATGTGGTACTAATACTGGTACCATCAAGCTTTCACCACAGTGAATAGCTGAGAAAATTTGCCTGGGTTACCTTCTTGTACGCCCAGCCCAGCTCTTCCTGTAAAGTCAGCAATTTATAAATAACAGACTCCATGGTCTTTGAATCCAAAATTTTTGCCTTGATGCTCTATCTCTGGTTTA